ATATTAGGGCTGTGTTGTAAATCAATAGCAAAAGATAATATTTATATTTATGCATTGCCAAATAAAAACAAAAAACTTAAGCCTTTATTTGATATTAGACAAATCCGATTCAATTATATTTGAGTTTTATTAAAAGCATTACCAGGAATGGAGTGATGAAATCACAAAGTATATGGCTTATATGGTGTTTTAAATGGGTATGTCGCAAATCTTAAGTTTGATTAGTTTGCATAAGTATACTAATTTTAATCAATGCAGGTTACCACATTACAGTTACAGCATTATGGTTATGGCATTATGGTTACAGCATTATGGCATTACAGTTATGGCATTACAGCATTATAGTTATGGCATTATGGTGTTATGGCATATAATATTTACAGCAATCATGTACTGAAGTAGAATTAATTCTACCACATGGTAGAATGCCATAATGCTGTAATTCAGTAATTCTACCACCAACTATAGTAATATATAATAAATCTAAAGTTATATATACATCTTTTTTAAAAAAAAGTTTTTCAGCTGCCAATTAAGGATTTACTTATTTTTCATTGAGATACATACACATCATTGTACTGCATAATTTTTAATTACTAATTAAGTGATATTGTATTGATATTAAGTGTATTAATATATTAAATATTTTAAGAATTTTTAACAAATATTTAATTCATTTAAAATTATTATTTAACAAAATAAAAAATATTAAAGGAACTTATAGATGATGAAGAAACATGCTTGGATAATTTTTTTAATGAATTTAATAACTTTGTAAAAATACTTGAAATTAATTCAATTCCAGATCATCTTCTTTCACCTAATACTAGTTTATTTGTACATGAAGGTATTCAATATGATAAATTTTCTTCAAGTAGAAAATACCTTGTTCCATTAGATATTGATATTGAAAAATGGGTACATAATTATAGTTATAATACACATACAAATTATGTATAGGAAAGAACAGAATAATGCTAGAAATATTGAATTTTGATATACTTATAAGTGTTATCAATTAGGAAAATATAAGAGTCAAGCAGGACAAAATCCTAAAAAAAAAAACAATAATTAATCAAAAAGATTCAAAAAACATGGTTGTAAATCTACTATTATTATTACTAAAACTAAAGAAAATTGTTCTCAAATGTTTATTAAATATATTTCTCATTCTAATTATATTCCAAGTAGTGATAATAATATTAGAATTCTTAGATTTTCAAAACAAATTCAAGATTATATTACATAACAAATCATGTTGGTTTAGATATTAAAGCAATTAGTTGAATTTTTAGAAAACAAATACATGTTTTAGATATAATTTGGAATCAATATGAGTATTTAAAAGCAGTTCAAATTCATGATCATCTTATTAGTTACAATGATATATATAATGTATAGAAATAAGTAATTAAGAAGAATTAAATGTTATATAAAATTAAAAAAAAAGTCTTAATTTATAATGATGTAAACTTTTAGAAAATGGAGATTTAACTTATACAATTGCTCAACAAAAATATAATAATGAGAGTAAAGGACAGCTTTTAGATTTTATAATTCCTATTATAAAAAAAATAATTTATCAAATTAATACAATTTTATTTGATACAATATTTGATACAAATAAGAATAATGATCTATTTTATATATTTCTTTTATTAGATCCTAAAACTGAAAAAGAAATTCCTTTTGTACATCTTATTTCTTTTCATGAAAATACTACATCTATATAATTTTGGTTAAATTGTCTTTGTATTTAGTTATCAAATTGAAAAGATCTAATAATTTTTTTAGTTGATTGTAATCCTGTACAGATCAAGACATTTTGAAATATTTTTTCTAAAAATAAAATATTATTTTATTGGTAACATGTACTTAGAACTTGGCATAATAATTTAAAAAAAGTTTATATTAAAAAGACAGTTATGACATTAATATTAGTTTATAAGTTAAGTTCTGAAACAAAAAAAAAAATAAAAGATGAGTTTTGGAATAATTTAAATGAATTAATACAAATTGATAATCATAGAAATATTAAAAGATATATTTATAATTTTTTAAATAAATAATCAAATTCAAGATCATTTATTTCATATTTTAAAAAACAATAGTTAAATAATCTAGGTAATAGTGGAATTGATAAGAGTATATAGATTAAAACATATTGATTTGATGTTCCTTATAATAATATGAATACAATAAATATACTAGAATCTTGGTATAAAAAAACAAATACTATAATTTTGATAGAAAACATAATCATTGTAGAAATATTCTTATTTATGAACTATATATTAATGGAATATTGATGCTTAACAGTAGTGGAGATTAGCAAAAATTTATGCAGGATGAATAATGCCAGTAGAGCAAGAAATTAAACAAGATAAACAATAAACAAAAAGTTTAATTTAAAAAATAACTGAAATTATTGTTGAATGATACTGGATAATTTTATCTGATTCAAGACCTAGTATTAATTATTCAGTTGAAAGAAATACAGAACTTCAAGACCAATTAGAAAAGCAGTTTATTTGTGCTTGCAATGATTTTCAAAACAGATTGTTTCCTTATAAGCATATTTATGTTATAATATTTTGTTATTTTTCAACTAATCAAAATCATATTATACAACAATTATAATTACAAATACAGTTACAATTACAACCACAATTGCAATCACAATTGCAACTACAACTACAATTGCAACTTGTTCAACAACAACTTGTTAATAAAATTCAAAAAATGACAAAAAATTTAAATAATCTTAATATTTACAGTTTACCAACTGTTTGAAATCAACTATCACAAGTTCTTTGAGAGGTTCAAAAAATAGAAAAGTTTGATACTAATGATTGGGTTAAAGAAGTAGCAAAAATGCAACTTCTATCGCATATGAATATTAAAAAACAAAGACGATAATACTTAATACTGCAATAAGTTTTAAATAAAAAATAATAATAAATAAATAAATAATGTAGTTTATATTTCAGTTTTGCTAAAATTTTTAAATAGAAATAATTATAGCATTTAACATTAATATGTTATCTCGAAAATTTGTATTATTTTCTATCGCTATTATATTATCCCTTAAACTGTTTTCCAGGCAAATTTGCCTGGAAATTTCATGATTGATCTGTGATTAAGCTATCAAATTATATTGAATTGTAGTCTAAATCGTAGTAGATACGTAGTTAAATTGACAGTTTAAGGGATAAAATTTATTATACTATCATATAATCATATGTTACACGATTCAATTAAGTTTGTATCACAGTGGAAAATAAGGGCACGCGCCAATTAAGATTAATGAATCAAAAGCAATATTTTCAATTTCAACAAAATTTTACCCCCCAACTCGGTGTTCTAAAAAAGTTTTTAGCAATAAAAAATGTTTAAAAAACTGGTTAAACCGTTTTTACCATCTCTGTTGGTGATCCATATAAGATCTAATCTAATTTACAAACACAATAACAAAGTTTTGCTTTTCATATTTTTGATTGTCTAAAGTGGAATACCCGAAATTTTACTTCTAATTTAGTGGTATGCATTACATAATAGTAACTCTGTTCATCGCTATCTTTACTGAATGAGTACCAAGTTTGTGGCGCATTAATCAGCATAAACAGTCCTGAATTAGTCTTATTCAATAAATTCAAGTAAAATCACAAGAGAAAATTATAAATCTTTAAAAAATAATTCCAGAAGTATTTCTACTTGATCCTTGTTCAAAAAATTACATTTTTCTTCATTTCTTCACAACTTTAATCTATAGAATCGCTGTTATTCGAACTCAAAAAATATGGAAATATAAATAACGCGAAATAAAATATAATATATTGCATATCAATATAATAAGTATGCGCAATATGGTATAAATAAAAGATTATTTAAGCAGTTTATAAATTAAGTTCGCGAGTATTTTTACATGAATTTAACCATATAATCCATAATTATAAATTTTTACTTAAATTTTAAAATTGAAGTTAGAATTAATATGGGTCTTTTCTATAGAATTTTTTTTCTAAAAATATGGTTTCTTAATAAAATCCGTGTAACAATACCTCGGAGGGCCCTTTTGAGTTATATTAAGAGAGAGATCATGTTACCAGTAAGCAAGCATCATATATATCCGCAATGGATTCATTAATACTTTTTTTAAAAAAAAATTACACTATAATTAAGTCTCCTGAGATTTCGAAGATCAGTTAATGTAACACAATCAGAAAATTCAAACGTTCGTTTTGCCAAAAAGCGTTCATTTCTCAAAAATTCGCATAAAAACAATCTTTAGTGCTTCAACAAAAAGTCTTCGTGAGGAATTTTACTGTATAAACTACCCCTTAAAACTCCTAACCCCTACCCTAACCCTAACATTAACGATCTTTAAGAAAATTTGTTGCGCCACAAATCTGCCACAGAATTTTTATATGCACCTCCCAATAACAAGTGCGTGACTTTCATTATAAATTCCTATGTAAACAACCAACAACATGGCCCTTGATATTAATACCGGTAAGGTGACATATAAATGGACCAACAGAAAACCAAACACCGACTTTCGGGTTTATTATTTACTATGATCAGAAAGTTATAAGTAATCTGGTAAATAATCTTGAAAGCCCGAAGTCTTTCGTTACTTAAATAACAATAATGATGATAGATATTCTAATTAGGGTAACGATATAGTTAAAAAAAAATTAGTTTTTAATAATTATAGTGACATTAAACATTACCCATTTTTTAACAAGAAAGATGATAAAGAAAAAATATGAAGGAAACAAAATTCCCGAGATTATAGAAGTTATGCTTTGGTGAAAAAATTAATTATTTGACAAAATTACCTTTTTACCCATTATTGAGAACATTTCAAAATCTCGACACTTTGGTGCAATAACTTGTGATACGAGAATGTACACACGCACGTACGTACGTACTGGGTTGTAAATCAACTAAGTAAATCAAACCTACATCAGAAATATTAGTAATTTTACTATGATCAGATTTTAATCAGTGAAATTAAAATAATCGATTAAATATCATATTGATATATATTTAATTAATTGAAAACTTTTCACAGAAGTCACTCTTAAAAAGTTACGCTCGATTTGCAAAAATTTTATTAAAGCTTCGACTTGTACATTTAAATTCTAAAACTTTTTCATTTTAATTAATGAAATTTATTTTATTTTAAGAAGAATGTACAAATATATATGTTAAGAGTAATAAACTATTCGAGAAAATTTCAAGGTAATTCTTTGGGGTTTCAATAAGATGCGTCGTTTTAAAATAATTAATTATAATAAATATATATATAACTAATCATAAAAATCTGTAATATATCAAATTTCGTATTTGATTTACTTAGTTGAATTACCACCCCAGTACGTACGTGCGTTACAGTTATGTACAATTACAATGATGTACTGAATTACTAATTATGTATTCGTGGAACAATGTGCATTTTACATATTCGCACAGCCTCATATACGTAAGTGGTTGTCAATTTTCTTGCCTTTTTTTCTTAAAAAAAAGCACTATGAATAAGTTGCCAAATGAATGCTTTTATGAAATATTTATTCATCTTAAAAATCATCATAGAAGCCTATTTTCTTGTCTTCATGTGAATCGTCATTGGTGTAGAAATGTTATACCAATATTATGGCGAGAATTGGACGTTTCTAAAAACTGGAAATTTGTAGAAATGTGTATTTTGACATTAAACGCTGAAGAACAGGAACAACTATTACCACTTAAAATAAATCTTCCCAATAATCAAATGTTGTTATTTGAATATTTAACTTACACTATAACTATTAAAATTAACTCAGACGACGGAATAATGAATTGGCTTAATCATAGAAAACCTGAATTTGTGCCTCCTTATTCACCTTATGAGTCAAGAACTGAGTGCGCGATTAAAGTAGTTAAATCTTCTTTAGTTGCAATGTTTTTGCGAACCTGTAGAAGGTTTAAACATTTAAGCGTCAGTGGCGAAATATTAAATTTATCAAAAAAGATCTTTAATAAATGTACTACTCTTACATCTTTAAAATTTGCGCACAAATACCTCAATTGTGAAGAAATTAAAACACTTGCAATGTCTCTATATAATAATACTACTTTAACCTCCTTAGATCTTTGGAATAATCATATTGGTTCTGAAGGTGGAAGAATATTAGCGGAGGCTCTTAATAAAAACTGCAATCTGACTTCCTTATATCTCGGATATAATCACCTGGGAATTGGTGGAAAAGCAATAGCAGAAGCTCTTTGTACAAATACATCTTTAATCATTTTAAATCTTCTTGATAACTGGCTTTGTGCTGAAGTAGGAAAAGCATTTGCAAATGCTCTTTCTAAGAATACTACTTTAACTCACTTATATCTTTCAAGTAATCGTTTAGGTCAAGAAGGTGGAAAAGCATTAGCTGCAGCTCTTTGCATTAATACTACCCTAACTCATTTGGATCTTAGGAATAATCGACTAGGTCATATAGGATGTAAAGCACTTGCTGAGGCACTTAATGTGAATACTATTCTTACATACTTAAATATCGAGAATAACCAGCTTGGTTCCGAAGGTGGAAAAGCGCTAGCAAAGGCTCTTTGTAAAAACAACACATTAACTTCTCTGAATATTAGTGAAAATCAACTTGATTCTGAGGTTGGGAAAGCATTAGCTGAAACTCTTTATCAAAATACTACTTTAACTCACTTGTGTGTTTGTAATAATCAATTTGGTTCTGTTGGAGGAAAGGCACTAGCAACAGTTCTCTGCTCGAATACTACATTGACCCATCTGAGTCTTTCAAATAATTTTTTTGATTCTGAAGTTGGAAAAGAATTTGCAAAAGCTCTCTTTAATAATTCCACTTTAACTTTCTTGAACCTTAGTGAAAATCGGTTTTGTCTTGAAGTCGGAAAATCATTTGCGGAAGCTCTTTATAAAAATGCAACTCTAACTCATTTATATTTTTGGAATAATCGACTTGGCACTGAAGGTGGAAAAGCTCTAGCTAAAGCTCTTTGTGAAAATACTACTTTAACTCACCTTGATCTTCAAAATAATAAGCTTGGCCCTGAAGGTGGAAAAGCATTAGCAGAGGCTCTTTGTAAAAATACTACTTTAACCTTCTTGGATCTTGACAATAATCAACTTGGTTCCGAAGTAGGAAAAGCACTAGCAGAGGCCCTTTATAAAAATACTACGCTTAATTTTTTGTTGCTCTATACCAATCAGATTGATGCTACTATTCTAGATACAATTAGCTATTTACTTAAAAAGAATAAAGAAAGTTTTTAATTTGTTAATATTCAATTATTCTTAGCTTGAATTATTATAAAGAGAATTTTTTTCTAAATAAATGAAAGGTTAATAATATTTAGGATTAAGATACAAATTTTTAGTTAAAGATTTTCTTGATTTTTTTTTCATATTTTCATCATTATTAGGTTACATGAAATAATTGTCCGAACATGCAAGCAGTCATTCCTTTTAATTAACCGTTTTCAGCGAATTTCCTATCATTAAATACATACATGACATTAGTCTTAGAAACCCATTATTTTTAAATTGCACGAATATTAAATGATAACATTCTAATGAAATTGCTAAAATGAATCGTTACATAAAAACCTTAATTGATAAAAATACGATGAAAATAAATTGAATTTATTGCTTTACATTAGGGTTGCACTCGGGTTCGTGTTCATACTCAACAAGAAATCCAAGTATGGGTACGGTCATGAAACTCGGGCATAGGCATGATAAGTCATAAAAACTCAGATGTAGGCATGGTCACAGGTAGAGTTGGGATTCGTGAATATTCACGGATAAAATAAATATTCAATTAGCATGTAATGCAATGGCAATCATAAATAATAGAGAAAAAAATGGTTAGATTGCATTATTTCATGTAATTTGGATGAATTCTTGAATTTTTTTAAATATTATATTTGTAAATAGTATCCTTTTTAATATTAGAATTAGTGATGCATTATATTTGATTGTTTTTGACAAAGATCAAAATGCTTGATCCATAAAATGTAAATACATATAAAAGTAAATTTCATTGTTAATGATTGCATCTTGTGCAATGTTAGAATTAATTAATAATTAAACAAAAAAAAAGCATAAAACTTCTGCTCAAAGAGTTCATATATTATTTTTTTTCAAAAAGAATACACTACAAGGCAGATAGGTCAGGTTTATAATGTTTTTTCTTTCATAATCTTACAAATAAGTCAAATGTAATCAAAACATCATATATTTGAAGATTTTAGAAGAGTTGGTTGTCTATTAAAAATAAGTAAACTAACCCAAAGAAAGATTAGAATTTAGTTACTTTTTGTTAATATTCTAATATTGTACAAGCATGTTTCTATTTAAAAATAAATGAAACCTTGAAACTTTTGAGAATAATATTCATTATATACTTTATAGATATGATTTAGTATTAGGGATTATAAGAAAAAATTCTACCTGAATAAATATTATTAAAAATAAATACAATATTTGCCACCAACAGAAATGACAAAAAAGAAAACATCTATTTGGATATCTAAAAGGATCAAATATAGCACCCCAACTAACAATATAATTAACTATCAAATTAGCAATACTTTAACTAACAAAACCTAGGTA